GTGTGTTTAGGGTCATTATCCTGTTGCAGGACCCATAACCTGCAACTGAGACCAAGTTTTTTTTTTTATAAATTATAAGATATCAGTGCATCTCTCTCTAGAATCCCTTGATAGTCTTGAGACACCATATGAAGCAATGCAGCTCCAGAAAATAACAAAGCCTCCTCCATGTTTTGTAGTAGTGATTTGATATGCTTCATTGCTCCATCTGTGTACATAGAGCTGATGTGCCTTGGTAAAAAAAATCAAATTTTGTCTCTGTTCTCAAAGAAGCTTAATTGTCAACATGTAGGTTGGCAAATTGCAGTCTCTATTTTCAATTATTTGTTTTACACAACGATGTCACACATGGTGCCACGGATGGTGAGATCTTATGCTTGTATTCTTTAAACTTGAAGTTTATCTTTCATCTCTTTGGAAGTTTTTTTATGGGTTCATATGTCTCCATTAATATTACTTGTCTCTAATCTCCTAAGACAACTCTTTTCTTCTTTTCCTCTGGTCCATGTTGAGTGTGATACACACCATGTCACCAAACAGGACAGTGACTACTTGTAACCCTATATATATCTATATATCTATATATATATATATATGGAGAGGTGGCGAAACGTCTTCAAATCTTGAAAACCAAGTCAAGTGGATATTTTTTTGAATTTTTACGGAATGACTATGACCTGGATGACTGAGAATCTTCATCAGCATATTGTAACCCTATATATACTATATGCCTACAGACTGATTACAAGATTGCAGAAACCGCTGACAAATAGTGGACATGCATTGATTTAACCATTGCGTGTTTTTCTTTCATTAAACAAGGAGCACCAACATTTTTGTCCATGTGTGTAGCTAAAAGTAAGATTTATTATGCATGTTTTGATTTATCTTATACATTATTAAAATACTAAAGGTACTTATAAGCAGAAAAATAAATGATCAAAAATGCATTTGAATATGAATTAGATAATTAATTGATTTAAAAATCAATATAACTACTTTACTAAATATCTTCAAATACATATAAAGTGAAGCAATTAAATTATTTTTTTGTGGATTGCTTGTATGTTCACTTATTAATTTTGGGGTCACAGGTTGAGGATTTTGGAAAATCCTGCCTTAAAAGTGCAATGCTGCTATTCATGTTTGATATATCAGCAGAAAGAAATCCAGTGGATAAGCTTGACTGCCCTGTGTTAAGTGTAAAGTTTGATTTGAACATTAGTTTGTGCCTTCGCTAATATGCTTCTTGAGGTTTGGTTACAAATTCTCCAAACAAATTCCTAAATACTGTGAAAAGCATTTCCAAAGAAGTTGAAGCTCTAGAGGTCGGTATAAAGTTCTTTGGAATTCACATTTCCTCTGACCTCTCATGGACTGAGAACACCCTCCACTTGGTGGAGGCCCAATAGTCTTCTTCCTCTGGAAGGTGAAACCTAATCAGCTTTTACTGAGCAGCTCAAAAACATTTATATGTAGGCTCACTACTAAAAAAATGTGCCTTAGCGTGAATGTGGTATGTGAGCTGCATGGCACAGGAAAGAGGAGCCAGATAGTAAGCCCAGCACAGGAGAGTATTGGTTGTCATCTACCAGATCTGGACTCTCTTTATACTACAGAAATATAAAGACCAGTTGTACTGACACAGATCCCACCCACCCAGGCAAACAGACTGAGAAACAGTTTCTTTTCCAAAGCTGTGAAGGCAACCACCCCCCTGTAATAAGACACACATCCCATCTCACCTTCACATCGTCCAAAGCAATGACAATCACAATAAGGTCACATACATACATCTTTCTGTAAATACTACATTTTGCACCAAGCAAATATGGGTTTCTCCAAGAACAGCGGGTTTAACATATAGCATCTGCCGTTTTCTTTTTTTCTTTTACATTTTGCTAACTTTTTGCCTTTATAAAAGAAAGGTACAGTTTGTTTAAAAAATTTAACAAACAGATGTATTTATACATTTTAAAATAAGACCATTTTCAGTCATCTTATAGGGATACCATTACAATTTTTTTATACAATTTTGCATCTTTGTTTTTTTTTGTGGAGGGAATTCAATTACAGATTTTCAACAGACCAGGGCAAAAAATTGTCCAATGCATTAAAGAATGTATTTTCATTAGGCTGAAAAGATGTGGTGTAGTTCGCAAAGATTTACTAAACTACCGTATATTAAAAGTTCATACAGTGTAAAAAATGTTTTTTATGTTTGTGATTTTTGCCGTTGAAATGTTTTCTTTTATTTTACCATCAGTTGTTCAGTTTTGTCTTGGTTTTAATAAATCCAGGAGCCCATAAAAGTAAGTTGAAGAATTTAGCATGTGAGCCAAATAACACGGGAACTGCGCCAGATCCAAATGTCTGCAAGCATACAAAATTGCTTTGAAATGAGGCCTGCTGTTAAGCAAGACTTTATCATGATGCCAACAACTTAAGTGCTTATGCTGTTTATCTTAAAATTTTTATCATATGATTATTCATGCTAAGATGAAAGGGATAATTTGAATGTCATGGTTTTAATATATGAGTTTGTCTTTTGATGTAATCTAAATGTCGGTGCTAATGGAGACGCTTGGTGTCCTCCAAATGTTAATTTGGCTTATGATATACGTTTATATGTTAAACTGAATAGAAAATAATTGCCTGTTATGAAACTTTCTTTTATGGAGCCCCACTTGACCCTGTGTTACATCTGTGATGAATATGAACAGAAATTGATAGCCAAAATCTCCTGCAGATCCATCCATGAAAGATTAATCCTATGAAATAAATTAAACCGCTCTTTCCAACAAATAAACTTATTTAGAATTAAGCAGAGACATTTCTTACAAAACATAAAAAAATTTGACATTTGCAAAGAAAAACGAAAATAATTTGTCATAATTTGACTTTTTTTTTTTCAATGAAAGCATTTTATTGCAAGATTTTTGGAAAATAGAAAAGAACATATTTAGACTTAGCCATATTATTTAAAAATGACAGAATCAGCCAACAAAATGTACATGAAACCTTAAACCACATACGGCTAGATATATCAAAGTTACATAGCAGTTGAAGCAATAAAATATAGTTCTTAACACCATGTTTTTTTTAAGCTGTTTCTCAAAATACCTCATAAACCATCTTTGTCCAAGATTCACATCTTTCAAAGTCATGAAAAAGTTAGAAACATTTTTTGTTACGATAAACTGACCTGATGTTCACTGGAATGACTAGATTTTTTTTTAAATCTGACAGAAAATTGTTCATTTGAACTGCTAACATTCAACGAACTTAAAGTTTCAATCTATATACAAATAAAGCACCATTAAAATTAAGAGTTTATAAGAACAGTTCTTTGTGGTTAGCAGGTGCTGTCGTCATCGGAAACCGACACTTCAGATCTTCTGTAGGAAACCACTTGCAGCCACCAAGTATAACTTCACCAGGAAGATATCGTCATCCGGCCAGCCTTAGTTCCCCCTCCTCCTGTTTCCAGCTAACAGAGAAGATAAAACAATAAATAAATGCGATCCACATAGAACAGCTTATTGCCTAAATGGGAAATATGATTTGCATTGCAGCTCAGACAACTTTATGGTCTGATCTCAGCTCTTTCCACATGGCAGAACCAGGCTCAGCACAGCAAGAGGTGGGAGTATGACTGCTCCCGCATAAGCTCACCATTTTTGTGAATTATGGACCTGAGACAGACCATACAGGAAAAAAAAGGTGCACAAATTGCAGCTGCACAGACATAGTAAATGTCAGCTTAACGTTTGTGTAAGCAATGTGCAGACAAGCATGTTGAAATGAGCAAGAAGCCACAGCTGACATTAGGAATTGGTTGACTTTTTTTGGAAATACACTCATGTGCTCCTTTACTGTGTGTAACGATAAAAAAGACTGATAGAATCCCTGTGTATGCATGGAAAATGTGATTCAACACTCGCTGCGCTTAACTTAGCTCATGAACTGGAAAGCAAAGGAATCAGCCAACGCACACATCAAAAAGCACCTACCGGTAAACCAGTGCTTTATTCATTATTTCTTTTATTTATGTGGAATAGAGTCAAATAAACTTCATTTATGTGGAAACTATAGAGGTTTACAGTACAGTAGGTTTTATTTTTTGACTTCCATTGTTTTTCCCAGTGAGGTTAGAAGGCAGCCCCAAGGGATCCAAGTAGTTAATCTACTTGGACCAAAACCTCCCCTTGTTGCAATTTGCCAGATTAATAATAATAATAATAATAATGGTAATAATAACAACAATAATTATTATTATTAAACTTTATTGATCTTATATTGGAGAAATTTACCTCTGCATTTAACCTATCCCTTTGGAGAGCAGTGGGCTGCCATTGTGGCACGCCCAGAGAGCAATCAAGGGTTAAGGGTCTTGTTCAGAGACCCAGAGTGGTAGTCTGTGGGAGTCGGTTTCAAACTCACAACCTCAGGATTCCAACCTCTATGCACTAACCACTACTTTAAACAGAAACATTCTAATAAAGTAGAAATACAATACATAAATGAAATAAAATATAACTGCAGATTTAGATCAATTGAACAAATCATTTTATTTGCTTTTGTTTCTGTTTTTTTATTTTGCTTTTTTTGTTTTTATTTAGCATGCATTTTTTTAAACTAAATGAAATCATTAACAGGGAAATAAGCACTTTGAGTTGATTTCTCAAAATGTCAAACCATTCCGTTAACAAAACCAAGCATGACTGACGGGACAAAGTAAAAACATGATGGAGGTTAAAAATGTGTGACATGGATGCATACACTGAATGAAACTAAAACAAACATCAGCTCAAACATAACGCTGTTGAATCCATTTTAAACACACTAGTGTTTGAGCTGTAATATTTCTTTATTCTTTTAATTTTTACCTATACCTTTTCTTGGATTAGGTCTTCCTTCTATGAAAGGAAAGCAAATATACACAGTCCATATTAATGATATACTATTTTTCTGAGTCGGTCAGTTTCACAGAATGATAAAACTCACTTTGGATCAGCCTGCGAAGTTGATCAGAGTCTAGATCAGCATTCCCTTCAATGGTAGTAATTCTTGAGAGGTCAAGTCCTAATGGAAAAAAAAATAGTTTTGACTGAACTTACACGCTTTGACAAGTCATAAATCTAATGTTTTAAAGCCCTTTATATTCTAATTATCATGTCATTCTAAAGATAAAGGCTGAATATCGCAGTAAATGTTCTTTGGCATGTACTTTAAATGTCACCTACCGTCCACTGCAATGTTTGTGGTGCCTGAACTGACAGAATACTGAGGCCCTGGAAAGAAAATTCATAAGTCATCAGAAGGATGAGTCATGTAAAGCTTTGGACAAAATGTCTGAAAGTTAAATCATTACCTGAGACAACCCTGGTGACTTTGGTAAAAGATGGATCCCCTTCAATGACTCTGGTGACTTTGGTAATAGACGGTTCCCCTTCAATCACCCTAGTAACCTTAGTGAAGGTGGGCTGCCCTTCAATAACCCTTGTGATTTTTCTCACTTCAGGAGCTGTAAAGATAAAGAGATTGTTTCATAAAGCTGGTATTACAATAACCTCTGGTCAAAACAATTTCTATTGCTTCTTTAAATGCCATAACATTAAATTACAACGTGTTTCTTAGCTAAAACACAAAAACAATAAATACTTAGCACAACAAATTCATTATTACTACATATTCTATTATAACTATTATTACAAATACAAATGCAAAGATCTGGTCATATGTGTTGTAGCTTCAGTGATTTATTTTAAATTACCTCTACATGTTTTAAGGTATATTGTGTGTAATTTTGTTAAGACTGACTTCACTTAGCCCTACTTTAGCCACATGAATAGCTTAAAAAAACTGTACTATAGACTGTATGGGGTTTCCCAATATTCAAAGGTTTTTTTACACCCTTTGTAATGACATTCATGGAAAAAAGAACCTACTCCAGCTTCCTCTATTTCTTTACTTTAGGAGATTCTTTGCATTGTTTGCTTCTGATGTACCTCACACCTCAGGGATCCTGGATAAGGTGTGCAAAGAGCAGCTGAAATGCCACTAATTCATTTTTGAGCTAATAAAAGAAAATGAATTTTTTTTTCTCCAGTTAGAGAGCTTAAAGAACCATAGATTAAATGCAAAAAGTTATAAACTCTTATATCAACAAGTCATACAAATATGAAGAGCAAACATCCTCACTTAAGGGAACTGGAATTTAAAATATGGCTGTTGTTAAATCACTTGGAAAACACTGACAACTTTGGCACATAAAATAATAATTAACATCACAATATAGCATTCTTGAGCAAAGATTATCTTTTGATGGATTACTATCCTCTAAAGAAAACAAAAATAAAGTAAAGGATGTAGCTAGAGGAACACCATAACAAAAGTAGCTTAATTATAATTACTTTGTTGGACAACACGGGTGATGATCCTCTCTAAAAGTAAAAGAAAACATCAATTTAGTTGATAAAAAAAAAACATTTTGAAAAAGGTTCTGAATAAACAATCTTAATAGTATCACAAATATCATAGCTTACTCATAAATGTAAGTGGTATTTCCTGATAAGTGTATCCTGACACGAACTGTAAAAATATTGAAGAGGAGTTAGAGCAGAGCAGTATGCATTTAATTAATAACATGCATAAAAATGCATGTTATTGATTAAAATGATGCCTTACATTCTGAAGATCATGGTACAAGTTTTATTTCATACAGAAGAAAACATAGCATAAGTACTAAAGCTTTGATTAAAACCTAATTCACCTTGATTTGGATGTAAGAAATGAGTTTCCTGAGTATCGACAGGAGATCCTGGCTCCCTACAGGGATATCTGGAAGACAGCAGAGGAAGTTAACCACAAATAGACTTTTACTGCAGTTAAAAAAAACAAAAAACATTTGCATGTCTTGACAGATTTAATAATAGGAGTGAATGTTAATGAAATTCAACATGGAATTCCTACCTTCAGGGTACAGGACTTGGTCGACAAAATGAATAACACCATTTGTGGCCATTTTATCGGTTTCTGGGAGTACGACAGAATTGACTTGCACAGCATCATCTGCCTGAGAGCAAAAGTTAAACCAATAATGAAAGACAAAAATGTGACCTAACTGACAGCAGTAACATGGATTTCCAGGAATTGGTAGTCGCTTGCTGCAGACTATGGTATCACAATCTAAGATGACTATCTAACATGTAACTGACAATATAACTGCTAAAGATTCAGAAACCAAAACCTTCAATGATTAAACCTTTTTTCTAAAAAATATATTTCCTTTATTAGAATTTTTGATGCTATATGCTTACATATTTTAGTTTGAGGTTGCTTCCCTGGAGAGATTTTAAAAGATTTGTCACGCGAGCCTCCAAACCGCCTCCGATGACAATACCATTACTGAAGTGATATAGAAGAATTGTCCTAAGAGCATTAAGGTTGCCTGAAAAAACATAACAGCAAAACATGTTTATTAAGAAACTTACAAGAATTTGAATTGCCACCATAAGTGCAGGAGAGATAAGAACAGGTAAGGTCATTATGGTAAGAGGCACCTTTCAGCAATCTCACATCTCTTTCAGTCAAAGCAGCAAACGCCTTATCGCTGGGGGCAAACAGAGTAAAGCCTCCCTCCTGTTTGAGCAGGTCTGTCAATTGAGCAGCTTCCATTAGAGACAAAAAGATCCTGCGGCACAAAGAAAGGAAAAAAAAATAGGCTGTAACTACAGAGAGTGTGTAATTTGCATTAGAAATTTTCCTTTTTTTATGTGTTCTCGGTGAATTTAATGGAAAACAAAAAGTGGTTTGAGAATTACTCTGCATCTTAACCCCAAAGTTTACCGGTACTTAGTTTTTTTTATCTGTTGGGGAACTTACTTAAAACTTCCGTTTTCAGTCAGAATCTCAAACATAGATTTTTCTGCAGGTTTCAACGTCGTCCTCATGACATGAAGGGCTCCATTGCTCCCTTCTTTGCTGCCTCTTATGAGGCAGGAATTCTCAATACAGACCGCCTAGAGAGAAATCCACTAGTTTAAAGGAAAAGATTGATGTGATGTTTCCAAAAAAATATTGTGATTAATGGAATAATGACATGAAAGATGATGTGTTTGTCTAGTGGTACAGAGCTCTAATTTTCAGGCAGGGTTCTGGAGACGATGACGCACCGTGCGGTAAATGAAGACCCTGAGAATTTTTCCTCCAATGGTCTCCAGCTGCTGGCCATTATACAGTTGTCCAAGGCCAATCTTATTTTTAATGATGTGGTTCTCCAGGATGATCCTGAGGTCCCTTTGATCCATTGCCATCAGTTCCTCTGCAATCGAAAAACATTTATGTAATGCCTGTGCAAGTAGAGTAATTCACAATTGCAAATAATGTTTTGCAGAACGTATTAATTATTACCCCAGCAAAAAACCTGCATGTTACTACAAAGGTGTCATTAAGTAATGCCTTTGATTATCAGTGATTTTAAAGGTTACAGAACCTATAGTATCATATAAATCAGGATAACTCAGTATACGTTATTTATGTATTAATTTAGTCTAAATTTCTTAAAGTTAATAATTGGTACTCTTATTGCATGTTTAATAGCCTCTTTTGCTTAATCTCGTTAAAGAATAGAATGCTTGGATGACACCCTCCATAAAATCCTCTCAGCTATTTATTTTTACTGCTGATTAACTTTGAATTAAAATCTTTCCAATGAAGATGAAAAATAGCTGAACAGGAAAGTAGCACAAGTTCTAATGATGACGAAGTGCTTCCATATTTTACCAAACCCAAAATACCTATATATCTTTGGTTTTTCAAAAATAAATGATCAATTCTCCTACTTTATGAGCATTTTTATAATATGCCTGCATAAATATGAACAACAATCTAGTAAGAAAAACTTAAAACAGTTAAACTAAATAAGAAGCAGCCAGCTGTATCTTTAGGTCCTCTGAGGACTGCAGATAAGAGATGGCATGCTTGCTATTGCAAGCTGTTTGTGACTCACCAGTAAAGACGTCATTTAGAGGAGCCAACAAGGTGTATTCAGCGTCTGCTCTAATGTCGGCAGAAATGCCCAGCTCGGACATCATGTCACCAAATGTTGATTGGGAACTTCCCAAAAGTTCCATTACCTGCTTAGCTTAAAAGCAAAAAAAATAAATAAATTTAGATGCTTTTAAAATATTAAAAACAGATCAAACATATTTCACACCTAAATAGTCTGCTTAAGTAGGAAGGTTGGGGGACAGATTGGTGATCTAACCTGAGTCTGGAATTAGCACTTGATCGATGAGGTGAATAACACCGTTGGTAGTGACTATGTCCTTTTTGAGCACCATTTTGACTCCATTAACCGTTAAACTCTCTCCATCGCAGCCAATTTCAATGGTGTTTCCCTCCAGGGTTTCATAAGAAGTTCCAGCCATGATGGCCTCAGAGCACTGGACTGAGTCCAGGATATGGAAACTCAGAAGAGCTGAAAAAAAACAACAACATATAAAATATTTATTATCTTCAAAGAAAGTAGTAAGACATGAATAGGAGGCATTGACAGTGAATAGTCATGTTAATCTAAACAAATAATCCCCGGGGAGCCTGTAGAACCTTGTGGACCCTTTGCTGAATGTCTTGATCTGTTTAGAATAGTTCTGATCTTATTCATAGAGTTACACGGGACAAGGACAAGGGAACCTATGGCAGCAATATTTTAATTTATTTTACCTAAATTATTAAACCTTTATTAAAACAGCTGCTCTTTGCTACTAAGAGAATTTACAAATCTGCCAACATTTTCTTTTTTTTAAACTCACTAAATATTTGAAGAGTTTAAGTCATGACTACTGTTGTGTTTACTGTGTAAAAGATGACTCAATAATCCCATTTAGAATAAATACAAAGCATTTCAACACACATTTTTACATATGGGACATAAAATGTACCTATTATAGGAAGTTAAATCTAAATACAGTTCTGGTTATAACTTTAAAATATTAAACAAACAAATTTCTTCAAATTTGTCTTAGAAAATTGTTTTATATTGGAAAACAATACAGTCAACAATAAGAATATTTGTTTTGAATATTTAAATTTTTAAACAGCATCAAACATACATAGGCTTATACATATATAGTAATAATTAGTGTAATGTCCCTTTTCCAGTTACAACCTCTAGTATTTTTTAGTTTATAAAGGGTTAAGCCTTTGTGGGTCCTAGATTTTCATTGGAGTCAGTCAATCATGATAATGAATTTCCTTTAAATTGAGGGCAATAGTTTGAGTTAATGGTTGGACACAACCGGGTCTTCCAAGACAACGAAAACCAAACCAAAGAAAAACCAAAGCTGGTTTTGGACAGAATAAAGCAGCCAAGCTTTAAGCTTCCCCAAAAGATTTTCCAAAGCCCTGACCTCAACTCCATGGACATTTTGAGGAATATGCTCTAAAGCAAATTATGTGCCAAGAAACCAAGAACTTGAATTACTTCTAACATTTCCACCATGAGGGCTAGTCAAAAACCCTTCAAATGATGGTTACAAAAGGCGCATGTTTGAAAAGTGGATTGAAAAGGCTCATAATTCTTGTTCATCATGATAATGAAGCTTTTTTTAACCTGTGATGAAAAAATAATTATTTCAAAACCTCATCAAAAGTCTAATGATTGTCCCACAATGGGAAAATTATAATAGTTCCCTGTATTTAAAACAGATTTAACATCAAAAGTAAAAGAATTTAATACTCAGTTTAGTTTTAACGAACAATGTTGAGATTTACCTTTGAGGACATCGTCGTCACCCAAAAGTCTCTCCATGGAATCACCATCAATCTTATCAAAAGCGTCATTGGTGGGAGCAAAGAGAGTGTAGTGTCCTGGCTGACCCAGTTTTTCAAGCAGTCCAGCCTTCTCAGCTGCTTCCTATGGTTTCACCAGCAAACTTATTGGTAAACTTCAACATAAAATGAATATAGGAACTATCTTAAATATTTATACTTACAGACAAGGTTGTCAAGTCATCGTTAACCTCAATGTAATCCTGAATAGTGCTTCCAACACTAGTGATGACACGGTCAATGACATGGACGACTCCATTGGTTGCTACCTGGTTACCATAGATAATCCTTGCACAGTTCACAGTCACCACCTGTGGGCAATATACATTTTCACGGTAAACCTCAGATACTTTGTTCAAACACAACAAGACAATGTTGTTTTAGTGCAACTCAGTGTAACAAGTACATAACACTACTCACCCCATTGGAATAATGATTAATATAGAGACCAAGATCATTGTACATAGAAGTCAGGGTCAGTCCGTTCTTTAAATCTTTGGTCAGTAGGCGTTTGTTGACCATGTGATAATGCAGTGCATTGTAAAGTTCAATGTTGACATTGCTGACCAGTGCATTCCTTACTGTCTGTAAGATGATGGAAACAAAATGGGTATAAATAAGACAAGGGACAAAGAAGTTACAGATTTTTTAGTTGTTGTTGTTTTTCATGACTCACATCATCTAACAGCTCCCAGGCATCGTTGCTTGGAGCAAAGAAAGTAAAGGATCCTGGTCCCTCAATCTCAGGTCGAAGTTTAGAAATGTCCGCATAATTTTGGGTTGAGGTGGCCTGAACTAGACCCAGACTCCCATACACATGGTCAATAGGAGCAACTGAAAAAAAATTAAATAAATCAAGAAAATGTATACATCGTGTGTTTTAATTGAGAACATGTAGTAATAAATGCTTTTACAATGCAGCCAGAATGTTAAAGCACTATACCTGCAGGGCAGCCTGGCATGCCATCAAGTTTGATATATCCTGGACAGCACTCATACAGCACAGTCCTGCAGAGAAACTTGTATTACAACTTCTTGGAAATAACTTAGCTCAGTAGCATAACTACTTAGAAACTCCTAATGATTTGTATGTTTTGGATTAGATTGTCCATCTTTCAGAGGAGTTTTTTGTGTTTGCTAATGTAACTCATTATTTTCTGGATTATCTTCACAGTGGAATCCAGTCGAGCGCTTTGAGCCAAAACCCTGCCTTGAGGATGATGCTACCATTTCCGTAGTCATTTTTAAGATAAACAATTAATTTTAAGCTGTTACTGGCAATCGGCCAATCTCAAACATGTTAGAATTTTTTTTTTATAATATATTTATGGGTTATTTATTTATAAATTGTGAGACTATTACAATAGACATATATTTAAAAAACAATTAATCAACGTAGATTTTTTTTTTGTTCCTCAACTGAGTTTTCTAACACAAAGCTCGACTGATTCAAGTTACTTTAGTGGTTAAGAATCAATCAGAGCTTCCTCTCATTTGATCCAATGCTGTATCCTTAAGAGAATGGTAAAACTTAATGTGGAATTGCTGGGTTCATATGTAATTTACTGTAACATGTTAAAACATGTTGAAACTGCAGGTTGGATTCCCCAATGGAAAAGCTACTATGTAATGAAGATCATTTCACACTGACTAACTCGCAGGTATTCAGCAGTAAAAAGACCCTCAAGACATAATACTCCACATGCAGCTATTAAAAATAAGCAATAACATATGCATAAAGAGATGGGGGGTGGGGGGGTGGGGGGTCGTAGGGATAGATGTCCAAGATTTTTTTGGGGGCAGAAGTTTATCCCATAGAATAGAAAATCCCTTTATTGTCCCACAATGGGAAAATTCTGGTGTTACAGCAGCAAAAAAGATTATGTAAAAAAGAAAAAATAAGACCAATACAAAGTTTTTTTTTGTTTTAGGAATTAACCACTTGCTATTGGTTCAGGGAAAAGAGACATGCCACAACGATTTAGCAGAAAGTAAATAGGGGCATAAAGTATTCAAATTTAAGAGTTTTCTTTTCCAGGAGGTTGTTTAAAATCCACATTCCATCTGAGCTCCACATGTGTTCTCCAGTTGTTGCAGACATCTGAGACTGGGATTAAATAACCCCTGTGCTTTTACAGTATGCCATGTTAAAGAAGGAATAAATACATATTAGAAAAAACATTTAACAAATCTCTGAAAATGTTCTCTCTGGTAGAGCCCAATAACCAAACAGCAAATTGTTAAAAGTTCAGACTTTATAGGGAGACAGAATATTGAAGTCCACTGTTCTTTGTTTAATCCTCTGCTAATATTCTAAACAGACAAAACGCCCCTGCTTCCAGGTCATGGGTAAGTGCATGTATATAACATCTGTATTTGAATTAAGGTTGAATGGAGTTGCAGGGGTGGCAGTGAGCTCATACAAGCCCCGGTGGGGCAGAGTCAGCAAAACTGGTGTTATATTGCTTTCCCACAGTGAAAGATTGTGTCTGGCATAGAGCCTGGAAACTTCTGACCATCTGCATCTTTATAAAAGTACTGTTCCACTTAATGTCTTGATAACTTCATTGTAAAGCTCCCCTATTTATTGCATATGGTGTTATTGTAATCGAATACTTCATTGTCTGTCAAAGAGCTTGGTAGTTAGATTTTCTTGGAATCAAACTCAGCTTCAGAAGTAGAAATTCTAGCTTTGGGAAAAGCATAATATTTTTGCTGGCTACATGAGATTTAACCCAGTTGGAGCAAAATGAAAAGAATAATTTAAAGCTTACTGCCTGAACTCCTGCTGTTAAAAGCCTAATTTAGTCAAAACAGCTGTACGGTACCACTCAAGGGAGTGGGCTTGTGTTTAGTTGTGTGATAGAAAGTAGAGTTCATCCAGGGTGTCGTTTATGTTATAATTACATCTGAATGACATTTTAAAATAATATATTTATATAGAGAGGAAAGAAAACACTTAAAGACCATTTAAAACATGCTTGGCTTAGTTGCATGCATAAATCCCAATGTGCTGAGCCAGCAGGGGTACCAACAAAAAAGGGGTTTTTGTGACAGAGCTGAATGTGTTTCCATTCATGAATACAGTGACTATTCTGCAGCCACATCATATCCTGGAATCAGTGGTTCACCGCTGTGGCATTCAACGACCACCGGGCTTCTATCGTTACAAACACCCTATTGAAGTTTATGGGCTAGAGTAGGATTGTAGTGGAGACACAATGTTTTAGGACTGCTTCTATAAATGTGTTTTTCATTCTACACAGCAGTGCAACTTAAAGTAGCATAACAGATGTCTGTTACTGTGGCAACATCCAAGTTTCCATGAAGGCGATAGGAGAAATAGGAGAAAATGGAAGAGCAAGCAGAAACGGCAAAAAAAAAAAAAAAAAAAAACACAGCAAAAGCTGCAGGCAACTTTATTTCCTAATCTCATGACATTTCATTAAACTTTTTAACCAACTTACGCTTTCTTTCCGCAGATGGACCCGTGGTACCAATTACGACAAGTGCTAAAGTATTTCTTCTTTGTCCCCATAACTTGCTGAAGTGCACAGACGTTGGGTCTGTTCAGATTTGTGAGAGAAGATGTGACAAGGATTAATAATCGTACTAAACAAATGAACGTTGCTTTTGAATTTCATTTATTCAGCTTGACTATGTGGAAAAATAAACTGCTTGGAAAGATGTCAAACTGCCAAATATGACTAAATATTTAGCAACTGGAATAAAGATTTCACTAGGTGTTATGCATATAATGTGACAGTTATGAAACATGTATAATGTTATGTATAATTCATCGTGATTATTTTGAGGTTTTGTCATTCAGGTGAAATAATATTTAATGTGTTAAAGATTTTTCGAAATATTTTTAAACTCAGTTTCAAGAAAAAAAACCTTTCTTGGAGAGAAAAACAAACAAATGTGCAAAGGTGATAAGACATTTTCTCAAAATCTCGAGATTCATGCATGTGCAGTGAAAAAAATAAATTGTTATAGGGCAACTATCCAAATAAATCATATCTTAACATTAAAAAAGCCTTTGATAATCTCTGACTTACCCTTCCTTTCTTGCCCTGATGCGGCTGTGGGAAACTATTTTGTCATAAGCTGAGGAGTTGACATAATCAAAGGTGAAAAGCACAAAGAGTGCAAAGGCAGACAGAAAAAGGAGCTTCATGCTTGAATCCTTGACGCTCCTCCAGCCCAGAGTAAAATGAGTAGACTCTTAGCTGGGGTTTATATAGCCATAGTCTCACCCTCCACTTCAGGAGGATGGTTGAACTTCTGACATGTATTAGCAAACCAAACCTTTCCAAATGCCACATTTATCCTGTCTGTCACTAGGCTGGAACACTTTTTGTATGATAAATTGTGGTCTATAAATCACTAGTACTTTTTTTTCCTTTTTAAAGAAACAATAATATTTGTAGAACACAATTTTCTAAAAATGAAAAGTGCACACATTGTTTTTTTTTTTTTTTTAGAAATACCCTCGGCAAACTTTTGAAAACCCAAAATAAAATCTTTTAAATATATAAATAAAGCAAGTAAATATATAAAAAATTTGGGTAAGTTTTTATATTTGCATAAAAATTATAAGAATTAAGCTGCAACTAATTTAATACGGTGTAAGAGGGAAAAGCAAACAGAGAATATAGCAGTAGAAAGAAAACAAATAATACTGCACATACAAAATTCTGCAGCTTAAGAAAAAAAAAAAAAAATACTTTAAATATTCAGAAATATTCAGAATGCAGTTTGTTCCCCCTAGTGGCAGAACAGAGTGCAAACACCTTACTTAATCACATGATTAAATTTAGTTTTCATAATCACAAACCTTACATTTCAATGTCTCCATATATTGTTAAAAATGATTTTTAAACACACTTTGTGGAAATAAACATAACTTCCTTTAAGTTTATCATTTATTCATGATTTTTATGTTATTTCAGTTGGAATATGAAAAAATGTATGTGTAATTTCATAATGCCAAAATAATGGGAGAGAATCTTTTCAATGTTTTTTTTTTCTTTTTTATAAATATTTTATTCAAATTCAGAAATTATTTTCTTATAGTTAGGGTCATTGTCCTCCTGGTGGATCACTAAAGATACCTTACTTTATGGGGTTTGGCAAAAACAAATGTTCTTAGTTATCCCAATTAACCTAAACATGTGCAGACACAATAGACTGATTTAATATCAGACAGAGAGGAAATGTTTTGTATTTTTAATAAGGTGAATTTAAATAGTTATTTTAGTTGTAAACATCATCTCCATCTGTTTTTAGATGGTCTCTCTGGAGACTTTCAACTTAAAAATAAAAGTCTTTTAAAAAGGTAGATTACACAGGAAATTACTGTTTATGAAACAGCTTAAATATATAAAATCCTAGTTTATAGACAGCTTGATCTCATGTGTCAAACATTTAAATATAGTCCCGGGTACTAAAATTATTTTTTATTTCCTTTTTTTTTCCACATAATGCACTGTGAATAACAGGAAGGTAATCATTTATTTCTAAGTACCACTGCAATAAAAGATTGTAATAAATAAATAGTTGAATTTCTTACATAGTGAGAAACAGAGTAGATATACTCAGGCCTCACTTTAGTTTACTTTTGTAGCTTCTCTTGTGGAAAGAAGTAAAGAAAAAACCTCAATGCATTTCCTTTTCTGTGTGACTTCATCTATTTTTCCCCCAGTGTTTAACTGTCATTACACTGTCACAAGTACAGAGCAACAAAATGAACTCTTTGCATTTAACCTATCCCCTTGGGAAACAGTGGGATGCCATTGTGTGGCGCCCGGGGAGCAGTCTGGGGTAAAGGGTCTTGTTCAGGGATCCAGTGTGGAAGTGGGGCTGGAACTCAGAGCCTCAGGACTCCAAGCTCTGTGCCCTAACCACTAGGGCTTGGGGAGTGTTGGCCAAGTGGTTAGAGCAGTGTGCTTGTGCTCTGAGAAGGTTGCAAGTTCAATCCCCACAGCATGCACTCTGGTTTCCTGAGCAAGACCTTTAACCCCACACTGCTCCCTGGGTACCACAAAATGGCAGCCCCCTGCTGGTTAAATGCAGAGATTAAAAAATAAAATTTTTTGACATGTAACCATCATACCGACATACAGTAGATATTAAATTGGCATCAATTTCATTGGAATGTTACTCATACCTTACCAGGTGTCTTTGGTATATTCCTCATATGTGTAAGACAAAAATTGACTTGAAAATTGACTTGAAAATCAACTAATCAAAGATGATGCAAATATATGACTGAGAAGTAGTAGCCTTGCCCGTACATTTCCTGTTTTATTTTTAATTAATGGGTAAAAAAAAAAAAGTGAAAAATGGCCAACTAACCATAAGAGCCAGCAAGCTATGTATTTCTTCAATCTGATATTTAAAGAAAAACTAATGAAATGCTCTTTAATCATTCGGGAATACACTTATTATACAATCCTATCATGCAATTCAACTAAAGAGCAACAAACCAACTTGTTTCTAATTTCAGTCTCACTAGGAATAATTAGACGCACAGCAGTATTTGAGCTCGGATTTAGAACATTCATTGTCTCAATCAGTGACTTCCATGCTCTGGTTGATGCAGACATAAACACTATTAGCCATAAGAGAATTTTTTTTCCCCTCAAATCTTAAAAGATGTTTCCATTAAAGTTCAAATGAGTGCTAATAAGAGCACCACAAAAAATCAAAGACGGCGAGCCTAGAAAGATTAAAACCATGTGTTCAGTGGTAACAGAAACAGTTTTTGTTTCACGGGACTGATTTTCTCTAGCATCCAACTATGAGGTGAAGGGTTTTTTTTTTTTTTTCTGTTGGTAAAAACAATATAACAATATACAGGATAAAGCATCATGGCGTTCATATCTATCTTCAACTGAAATACTCCCCACATAGGAGGGTTAGAATTTACTTAAAAACATATAAGCTTGGGTTCATGATGTCTTTTATATATCAAGGTTCAGGCTGTCTATAGTTGTGTGATGTTATGAGATGTGGGGGGTATCTTTGTGTCACACTGGCGGCCCCCTTAATACCAACTGAGCACTATTTATATGCTAAGTTTACCTGAGTACTGCTGTTGACCATGTTCAACCTTTATGGATTACAGTGTACCCATCTTCCATCTTCCTCCAGCAAGATAATTTCAAATGTCAAAAGCCAAAACCACCTGTAGGTGATTTCTTGGCTTTAAAAACATTCATTTGCACCCCAACTATCCCAGAAGTCTCTAAAAGTAAATAACAAATCTTTAGGATGTTGTACAAATTAGGATTTTAATGTTTGGCAGCATCTGCATGAAAATATTGCATTAATGTGGACAGAATTTCCAGCAATTTATTCCTTTTCTTTTTATTTTTGCCAAAAAGATTTAAGGCATGTATACTCGTTAACAATAGCAGTACAATCCCAGGAAATTCTTTCAACGTTATTAAATGCCTCCTACGATTGTCCAGGAGTCATGTATTTCAATGGTAATTGTATAAAACTGAATAAACAAAACAAAATAGATAATAATAATAAAAGAGACCAAAAACGATTAATTTGAGGATTTTTGAAAGCTAGGTTCGCAGAATTCACTACAGGACCAGCAGGTTCTGTACCAGTTTTTTCCCCCACTGCCATCAGACGGTTGAACTGTCTAATCAAGACTCTGCATCACACTTAAAAACATCATATTTGCACGACCAACAAGGCTGATTTTTTTCACAGTCCCTTTATAGAACACAACACAATGTTCTACTGCATTTTGCACCATAATAATACATTTTACACTGCCCTGAACCTTTCCATGTTAATGCATTTTGCACCATTACTTTGAACTGGTTTGCCTTTTCTCCTACACTGTTTACATTCTGATCACTGCTGCACTTTATAAATGGTAATGTTCATTTAATTGTTGTTAGCTGCTCATTCACTGTTGACAAGGTGTATACATCGAAATACATTGAAATTTGTTTGTGTATACACTCCATGTACGTATATAAAATGACAATAAAGTTTGTCTAAGTTGAGGAACTGATTACTGTTAATGCCTGGCGGCATGTTCAATTGCATTTATTGTACTCCCTCAGGTATTACAGAGGTAGAATGCAACTCATTAACTACAAAGTTGCAGTTTTACCAGATATCAACGATGTAGCATCCACTAGTCCCTTGCCATAATAACAAGATTATAAGTCCATGGCCGTGCCATACTGGCTCCCATTCTGCTGTAGAATTAGAAACCTGAAGCTAGCTCCTATCCTGCTCACAAAAGACCAGGATTTGTTGCTTTACCCTGCTCTTGTCATTTTATTTTATTTATTTATTTAGCATTATTTTGGTTTAGACTGCTGCAGATAATAGCTTAATTTACTATTGTTATTGTATCTTACAGAGATAAAACAACTTTTGTAAAATTTCCTGTGTATTAAGTAAGGCCTACCATTACCTCATGACCACATCATTATATATTTCTATTATAGCCTAAAAGCAGCTGAAATGTATGCATCATAAACCACTAGAGGGTCTTTATGACTGCATTTACTATGATTGATGATGAAAAGATGCCACCTCGTCAACATACATTATATCTTCACATCTAACACTGTGTGCTTGATGCCCAAGTCTGAATAATGATATGAAATAAATTATCTTGTTATCAAATTGAGGTTTTACTGACAGAAGAGGTGCCCTTTCTGTGATTACTGTAACAAATCACAACAAATAATGGAGAAATATTATTATTTTTTTTTATTTTTTTTTTACAGAATTTAAAGCTCTGAGAGTTTTGTTATATTGTTACATTTTATTCATCCTTGGTTATGAAAGCAAACAGACTTGGTCAAATTGAGGATTGTTCTAGCAGCATTCAAATAACTCCAATGCAACACCAATGAAACAGATTTATGTACAAAAGCAGACCAGGTTAAATCATGTTTTGGATTGATTTTAATCCTGAGTGCTTCTTCTTTTAGGGCGATCATAGCTGAGTACTACAAATATGGTAATGTAAGACAAAAACTATGATTGCAAAATGGTTCTTGTGCCAGTGAGCACAGAATTAAGCTAACATAGTTCAGTTGTGTTAAATTCAAATATACTAACTGTTTTTAACAAAATCGAATTCACAGATTTTTTTTCAACCAAACATGTTTTTGAATAAAAAAAGGCAGTTACCATTACAATACATTTGAACTGATTTTATTAATATTTCAAAATGTCTCAGAAGTAATACAAG